TATAGGAGAGGAATAGATTTTACGTTAATGATATTTATTTAGAATCTTGAAAATCTAGTTGATGGTAAGTTAAGTATTGGAATTCTTTCACTTCATTGGTATCGATTCCGTTACATATTAAACCGTTAATCGAGTAAAGCTATATTTTAAAATTAATAATATCGATTAAATGGTGGCCTAAAAATAAAGTAGTCCTAGTGTTAAAGCTTATCTGGGAATATTGGATTTATTGGTATCTCCATATGGTTACAATCATTTTCAAAATATAATTTATTTTAAAAAGGCATATTTTCAAATATAATTGAATTTAGATTTGGTTATCTCTATCTTTGTCCTACAAAATAAAATAATTTATTATATTTATCTATTATCTATAAATTAATATATATATATATTTTGATAAATAATCAAATTTTTAGACTGATAATTAATGTTTTATTATCATGATTTGATTAACTAAATATTACTGTTTTATTTATATTAATTAATGTTACCATTTTTTATTTAAAATTTAAAACTTGAAATTTTTGTTTAAAATAGTTAAGATTTAAAAAATAAAAACAAATAATTGAATGAATCGAATCACTTGTTTGAATTTTTTAGAAGCTTGGTTAATTATACATACGAAATTTGTAATTCAATTATATTATGAAAATTACTAAAAATTAATACAAAATAATATAATATTTGATTGATTTATGTTGGATTTTGATTGGTGGGTGTCCCCACTCTCCCACAATTCCGAAGCCATAAGCGCCCTTAAAAAGCCGAATAACTTAGCGTTGAACGACGCCGTATCGGGTGCCTGATGTGACGCCTTTTCTCCGCGGAAAAAGCCCCAAGATTTTAAATTTAATTAATTTTCCTTCAACACCGGAAAATAAGCGTAAAATTTAGCAGTACCGCCATTGATATCTATATATATATATATAAGAAGCTCACAGAGCTGCGCTTCATCGTCTCCGAATCTTCTCTTAAATTTTGCCTTCCCGGGCCTAACCCTAGCGATCTCTTGCTCCTTCTTTGTTGTTGTTAGAGATGGCTTCTATGGTTGCGTTGACTCTTCCGTCTTCTTCTTCTTCGTCGTTGGCGTTGTCGTTGTCGTCTCTGTGCGCTGTTGGCTCTCTCGACCATGGAGCTTTTGTTCCTAATGTGTCTCCGTCCCGAACGTGTTATAATGGCAGAGTTGTATGCTTCTTCTTCCTCTCTCACTCTGTATTTTGGTTTTTCTTGAGATGCGTTTGATTTGTTTTTGTTGTTGTCTTGAGATGTGTTTGATTTGTTTTTGTTGTTGTGATAGTTCTGACTTTCTGTGTTTGATGATGCAATGGCGATAATTCTTGACGTTTCGCTGTTTTTTTGTCCTTTTTGGATTTTCGGAGTCAGCTGCTCTTCTGTTTTACCTTTTTTGGGAGAGGATTTGATATACTTCCGGGAGAAGGAAGTGCTTCTTCTGTTGGTTATTAATGGAATAGGGAGATAGAAGAGTTTTAAGTGTTGAATGTAATGTTGCTACAGTGTCAGCGTCACATGTTCGTCTACGAAAGCAATACTGGAGGGGGGAACTTTTTTGGGGGGGTTTTCCCCTCTCCCCGTTGTTTCGAATGATTCTGCTGCTATAACTTTTCTAGTAATAGTTGTCACTATCAAAGTTCGACTGCATTTATTCTTATGGTTTTATTTTTAACTGAATTATGTCAGCGATGTGATCTCTCCGAGTCTTTGAAGCATGTAAACGGGAAACCAGTACTTCCAGTTGTTACTGAACGGACGCTGCCCAAGTTCTTGGAGTCAGCTCGCATGGATAGAAGAGTAGATAGAAGAGTTGATAGAAGTAGTACGCGTTTGAAATTGTTTTCCGGGTCTGCAAACCGTTTACTTTCACAGGTTAATTTCTGCTGTTGTACTCGTGAAACACTTCTTAGATTTTACCCTGCAATGCCATGAAAGTTTCACTTATACGCGCCACGAAGCTAGTATGACTTGTGGTGGGTTTTATCTTGATAGTTTAGTCTGATTATTGTTTTCGAGCCATTAGGTGGAGTGTGTTTTAAGGTGTTAATAATTATGTCTTGGTCAACGGCAGGTTAGACTACTCATTTTGTCTGGTTAGTTGAAGTGAAATTTTACTTTTTTCGCTTTAATAGTTTAGATATAAAGGATATTTACACTCAATGTTCTTATTTAGGCATATCATTACATGTTCATAATGATGAAAATATTACTCGAGATGGAATTTAAGAGTTCAGTTTATTCTCCAGCCATTTCTTTTTTCTGGTTGAACTTGTGGGAAAGTGGAACAATAATGAGGTTGTTATATTCATATTTCTGGAAGATCTATGTTGGCTGAAGTTGTCATGTTCAATAAAAGTGACTGGCAAAGCCGAATGGTTTTGGCCATTGAGGTGTTCGAAGTGAAAGACAAAATCTCCCGAGCAGCATTCAAATATGGACATATCTTTTTTTCTTTCTGGAGACTAACCTTGTTTGCTAATTTGAGTTATTTACTTCTCAGGAAATTGCCTGTTACATGGGGCTGGAACTTGGAAAGATCAACATCAAGCGGTTTGCTGATGGCGAAATATATGTTCAATTGCAAGAGAGTGTTAGAGGATGTGATGTATTCCTAGTACAGCCCACCTGTCCCCCTGCTAATGAGAATCTTATGGAGCTCTTGATTATGATAGATGCTTGTAGGAGAGCCTCAGCCAAAAATATTACTGCTGTAATTCCATATTTTGGATATGCTAGAGCTGATAGAAAGGTAACTTTTTATTTGCGCATTTTTATAACTTTTCATATCAATTCTTAAAAGCATTAGGAATCTGACAGTTAGATGCGCTGATTTTATTGAGCTTGGATAGAAGATACATTATGAGCTCAAAATTACTTACATTGGATTGATTTGGAAAGTGGTTCCATTATTTGCTGTGTAACTGTCTGCTTAAAATCTTCTACCAGACTCAAGGGCGTGAATCCATTGCTGCAAAGCTTGTTGCCAACATCATTACTGAAGCTGGTGCAAATCGTGTTCTTGCTTGCGATCTTCATTCAGGGCAATCCATGGGTTACTTTGATATTCCTGTGGATCATATAAATTGCCATGTAGGTTCTTTCTTTTATCTTTTTCATATGCAGAAGGTTCATTATATTTCTATTGCCAGAATTTGGAAATATTGGATCTTTACTGAATTTTATATTGTTTGTAATTGATTTTATAGCCCGTGATTCTTGACTATCTCGCCAGCAAGAGGGTTTGTTCTAGTGATTTGGTAGTGGTTTCTCCTGATGTTGGAGGAGTTGCCAGAGCTCGTGCTTTTGCAAAAAAGCTGTCTGATGCACCTTTAGCTATAGTGGACAAGAGGCGCCATGGTCACAATGTTGCCGAGGTAGTTTTGCATCATACTCTGTGGCTATTGTCTTTTTGGTTCAAGATATATTTTCTCTTAAACTTGGTGGTATATGCACCAAATATATTTGAACCGAAATCCATTACCTCATTCGATTAATAGGTTGGTAATGGATAATAAAAGCTTTAAATAAAATTATCTTGTGGCTCAAATTTAACCAATGTGTTTACAGGTGATGAACCTGATTGGTGATGTAAAAGGAAAGGTTGCAGTTATGGTTGATGATATGATTGACACAGCTGGTGAGTTAAGAAACCAAATATATTGCCTTCTGTTCCTATTTTGTTCTGAAAATGGTAATGCATTACTCAATGGTTCTTTTAAAGAAACATGTCTTAAAAGCTACTTGTGTTGTAGGAACCATTACAAAAGGGGCTGAACTGCTACATCAAGAGGGAGCCAGGGAAGTTTATGCTTGTTGCACTCATGCTGTTTTCAGGTATATTCACCGCTCCTTTGGTTACAAAACATTCTACAAAAATACTAATTGAAATTGCAATGAAGAGGCTCCAATGAGTTTGAGTTTGAATATAAGTGGACTATCTAGGATTCTAGGCAAAGAACTCAATGTAGAATCTATAACAAGAATCCAGCTTATTGAAATGACTGATCCAAGTATTTTCTTAGCTTACAGAAACTGTTAGTTTTTGGAGTATCAGAAGATGTAGATCATTAAGCATTCCATTGATATATCAAAGTTGAAAATGTTTAGTTTTAGCTACAAACTTCAACTGGTTTGCCCCTCCATATTGCATGAGTATCCAATATTGATACAATTTTGACTGTTTGAAACTATTACCAGTTGGGTGTTCCTTATAATCTCTTGGCCTTTGCAGCCCGCCTGCCATTGAGAGGTTGTCCAGTGGCTGCTTTCAAGAGGTGATAGTTACAAACACAATTCCAGCCCCCCAAAGTCACTTCCCTCAGTTGACCGTCCTCTCGGTCGCAAACTTGATGGGCGAAACCATCTGGCGTGTTCACGACGATTGTTCAGTGAGTAGCATTTTTCAATGAAACCGCAGTGGAGCTACTCAGAACTTCAGTCGTGGCTGCTCCCTTATTTATGGAGGTCTGTTGCCAGCTTATTTTATAATTGGCATATAGTTTCCTTCAATGTGATACGATAAAAATGACCCTCCCTTTTTTTCATAGCATAGCATGGATTAAGCCCCGTCTGAGTCACGTTTATCAAAAGAAGGTTGCCAATCTTGTGGCCGATTACATCTGATAGATTAGGTAGGTAGGTAGGTCTATATAAGTGAGCGATGTGAACTCTAAATCAAGGTTTCTGTCATTTAGTTTCCTTGAATGTGTAAATTTCTGTGTCTCGTTTTCATATGTGTTTTAAATGAGAAGCATTCGCAATTTTGAGCCTCTAAGCATAAATATATATGTGATTATTTATGATATATATGAGATGAAAAATTATGTATCACTTATCATTACTATGAGCTCACAAAATTCGTTTTATTTTTTAATATAAAAGTGAAAAAAGAACAGCCGCGAAGAAGAAGATAGTGAAAATCATCTTAGAAAATTGAAAACCATGCAAATAACAGTGGAATGTGTAGCATTCAGTTTTCTTCGATTTTATTCATCAGTCTCAAGCACCGGCGGAGTTATTCCCATTCCGTCGCAATATTCGTTAACCGCACCGCTAATTTCCGCCGAAAATTCTCCGCCAGACGAGAAAACCTCGGCGGCGCATTTGTCCGGCAGTCCATGTAATATCGCTCTGCAACAATCGCGACTCACCTCGATCTCGTTACTCTTCATCGCCATGTCGATCTCGTCCTGGCATCCTTCCACCGCGGTTATCGCGTCCCAACAGGTCGCCGCTGACCAATCGGCTGAATTAAGCGCCTCCGGAATGTTTCTGAGAGCGAATGCTGATTCGGATTGAATCGACGATGAAATCGCTAGAGCTAAGAGGAAGCCGACAAACCGAACCGATTTCAACATTTTCTTCAGCTTTTCTCAACTACCTCCTCCTCTTCTTTAGATGATCCTCACTTGCTCTGGTATGTTTTCGACTTGCTGTTTATATACGACGCAAATCTGAAATACTCTTTGGTTTCTGTTTCATTTGTGCATAATTTAACGCAGTGTTTAATTCAATTCAACCAGCAGTTTGCGAATCCATTAAATTCGTGCTGATGAGTTTAGTTCCTTCCAGTTTCAAATGCCTTTCAACACTTTCCATTTGGTTTCAGTTTCAGTTTGGTTTTGGGTGCATTTATTGTGTTGGAGTTTCACAGAAATCATTTCTAACCTTGTTTCACATTCCCATCCTTGTGTGTTCTATTGATCAGAGCTTTTTGTACACAAAGAACAGCCCAGGGACTGATACTTGTATTGTTTAGTTTTGTCAATCCAGTGGAGATTATGAACTATGGAGATTGATCAAAAGGAAGGGGACAAAGGGGTGAAATGATCAGACGTGGAAGAAGGAAGAAATTAAGGAAGGGGAAAATGGAGCAAAATTAAGGGACATTTTTCTTTATTTGCACATTTACAATATTAATTTGAAGACTATTATGAAATTTTTTTTTAAGTTTAAGCCTAGTTTTAAAACTATATACTAAAAATGATAGGATATTTTTAATTTTTTTTTCAAGTTTAAGACTATTATTAAAAATTTATCCAAAATTTTACATGCGTATAGCTATAATATTCCATATAAAAAATTCTTTTTATTTTTATTTTTAATAGTGTTAGCTAATACTTTGGTTCCTTGTTCATCTTTTCTCTAAAACAAGTTTCAAAGTTGGTTAAAGTCTATAGATTTACGATTATATAATTCATTATACGCACATGTAAATTAATATTTATTTAAAATAAAATATAATAAAAAGTGGATAATATACCTTGTTTAAATTAATATAAGTATTAATTTAAAAAGTTTAATTCATGCGAGAATAAATTTGTTTTTCTTAAATTAATAAATTACTGTGTTTTTTTTTTTTTTTTTTTTGTGACATGCTGTAAGTTCTCAAATCTTATAAAAATTGCTACATCCCAAGGTAAAAAAAGAAAGAAAAAGAAAACACGTGTTTTGGTGTGAGCGGGTGTAGACCCATTTCAAGCCGTTGAATGAATTGTATTGACACGTGGCAAAAGTAAAGCCAGATCAGAGAAATATTCCACGGTATCTTTGATTTTAATTTCGAAAGAATCTTCGAAAATGTACGAGAGATGCCAGTCGTTGTTGTAAAGGAAGGAAATAAAAAAATCTCTTCCACAGCGCCACGCTCGCTTATTCGCGCGTGCGCTCACCGCCTAATAAGAGCCATTGTTTTTTCATTCTTCAAAAAGATTAAAAAACAATTAGAAAATAAATTATTGGAAACTCCACTCGCATTTCGAATTTTGTATCTCACTTAAACACAAATTTAAAAATTTAGTATATATAGATAATTAGTTTTTAAAAACAATAATATAAATAAAATATTATTTTGGTATATATTCCCCAAAAATGAGTTTATCACTCTCGAACAAAAGAAAAGGCAAATTTGTTTGCGATATTTATTGGAAAAGGAAAATATGGTGACTTGAGGAGAGTGTGAAACACTCGAGATTTAAAGCGCGTGAAGGAGAAGAGCATAAAATATGTGAAAGAGAAATAAGACGAAAAAAGAATTGGACCCCTTCTTTTAACTGTCCCCAAATCTCTGGTCCCGTAGTTGAATAACAAAACAACCCCGCCACAACCGCCCCTCTCGCCGGCCGACGGGAGTGAGACCAGCACCTTGTTTCGCCTCACCTATTGCACCTATAGGAGGAGATTTCTTTCTTGTTCCCTTTAATGATTTTTGAGTTTCTCTGGCGAAATTCACTCTCTCCGTCTCTCGTTCTGTTCAAGGTTTTCTTCTATGGCGACGTCTAATCTCTCAACTGGAGTGCCTCTACTGAAATCTGATTCTACCAGAGCTGCCGACTGCCTTGCCTCATGTAGAACCGTTTCTGCTGCTTTTGGTCCTCAAGCGAAGAGTAGAGGGATGTGTTTGCAATCGAAGCTAATCACTCTGGTTAGATGCTTAAGAATATCCGAGCAGCGGGAGGTTCCGTCGGATAATGACTCTCTGGACACTGTGAGATTGTTTTCTTCCTGTTTTGTTTGTTTTTCTGATGCTTACTTTGAAGCTTGTTTTTGGTTGATGTTGATGCTTCTCTCGGTTTCGTTCTGGAGATATACTGGCTCTTGTACAGGCATGGAGTTGTGGATATTATGAGATTGATGTGTTTTTCATAGTTCCGCATCCTGTAAATTTGATATGCTATTTTTGGATTGCGCTGGAATAACAAATGAATCTTAAACCTGGAATCAGATGCTGTTTATATTTATTTTATTTTTCTACTTGAACTAAAATGGAATGTTTTGTTCCTTCTTATTGTTACTTTTGATGCATAACGGTCCTAAGAGTGAGACTCTTTGTTTGATTCAGGATCAGGACGTTTCAAACTCTACCTTTGAGCCTCAGTCTAATGGATTCCCTCTTAGCAGGATGAAGTTAATGACGAAGTTTGGAAGGAAAACTAAGATAGTCTGCACCATTGGTCCTTCAACAAGTTCACGCGAAATGATATGGAAATTGGCAGAGACTGGGATGAATGTGGCTCGTTTGAACATGTCCCATGGGGATCATTTTTCCCACCAGAAAACCATTGATTTGGTTAAGGAATACAACGCTCAATTTAAAGACAAAGTTATAGCCATTATGCTTGACACAAAGGTAATGTTTTCGGCCTCTATATGTGTATTGAGCGCTGGATTTTAACTAATCCAGAAGGACAAGTTAGAACTTCAGATTCATCTGAAAGTCTTGACTATACGATATCTGAATTAATTGGTTATGCAAGTTTCTAGAACCTATTATGCATCTGTGCCCTTTTGTACATTGTTGAGATTTCTTCGTTGAAGCTTAATGTCAAAATTTGATCTTTTATAGAAATGTTCATCATTGTTAAGTCAACTTGTGTACTGGCAAGAAAAATTTATTGTATCTTGATATTCTGTTTTTATTTCGGTTGTCTACTTTATGAAATATGAATTAATGATCTATGTTCTTCATATTATAATTACTGCGTTGTTTCATTCAGGGCCCTGAGGTTCGAAGTGGAGATGTACCTAAACCAATCGTGCTCAAAGAGGGACAGGAATTTAACTTCACAATCAAAAGAGGAGTCAGCACGAAAGACACTGTTAGTGTCAACTATGACGACTTTGTAAATGATGTAGAAGTTGGAGATATTTTACTTGTTGACGGTAAGTATATTGCTCGATATTTTACTTGTTGACGGTAAGTATATTGCTCTTGTTTGTTTCACATTGGTAGTGCATATTTATTGTTCACCCTTTCTCAAGCAGCAACTCGATTTATTTAACAGTCGGCTAATGAGGGAGAAAGTTTGAGCTGGCTATAAACGCTGATAATTGATAGGCCACTCACTTCAAAATATTATTCTTGTGGAATGTGGGTTGGAGAGGAGGCGCTTCAAGATGACCTTTTACTTTAGTTAGAAATACAAGTTTTATGGTCTTGATCCTTTTACTTTAGTTAGAAATACAAGTTTTATGGTCTTGATCCTTGGTCCTGATGGTGGTGACTGTGTCAAATATGTGGACTATTTGATCCTTGCTGGTTCTTAATTTTCGGATTTATCAATGAGGCTCACTTGATGATGAATTTTTTATTTTATTTTTGTTGTTTCATTTTTTTTCCCCATCAGAACCAACTAGACTTACTTGGTCCTGAGGACACACACTTGTATTTACATATTGATATGCTTAAATATGTCAAAGATTCGATTAAACCCTGTATATGCTTTACTCGATGAAATATAAATCCTTATTATCGCTGTTAGCTGATGAGTCATGGAATCACAGTTGACTATTATAGTGTCCCAAACAAAAAATTATTTTCCATTCTCAGGTGGAATGATGTCATTGGCTGTTAAGTCAAAGACGGATGATACGGTTAAGTGTGTAGTCATTGATGGTGGCGAACTCAAATCGAGGCGTCATTTGAATGTTCGCGGAAAAAGTGCGACATTGCCTTCTATAACAGGTATGTTCAGTATTTAACTCAATGTTGCATTGATAGAATTTAGGTTAAATTACAATTCTAGTTTTGCTACTTTTACACCTTTACTGCCCAGTTTTTCTTTATTTACATTTTAGTCTCCATACTTCTATAAACATATCAGCTTAGTCCCAAACATTAATTCTCTTGTCAAAGAGTTCCATAAATTGGCATGACACAATGTAGATGTTGAAGTGATAACTTGATATATTGTATGGCTATATATGCCCAAAAAGTAGAGGTGGCAACATGTCAATATTTACATTTCACATGATGCTATGTCGGCCTTTTGTTACTATTTAAATGGATAATTGACATGAGGGACTAACATGGTACGTCCATAAAACATGTATCAAAACGAAACAAATGCAAGGACATACACAAAAAGCTTAAAAGTGGTAAAAGTATAAGGACCATATCTATTATATAACTTAGATCTATTATGTATATAGCTTTTATATCTTGTCAACATCTAATCTATGAAATCTTTCATGGTGCAGACAAGGACTGGGAAGATATAAGGTTTGGGGTGGATAATCAGGTTGATTTTTATGCTGTTTCTTTTGTAAAGGATGCTAGAGTGGTTCATGAGCTGAAAGACTATCTGAGAAGTACATTTATATATATATATATATATATTAATGTTTTGCCCATTATATTCTCACTTATGCACATCTTCGTTTCCTCACATTCTCATATATATATATCCTTTTCTTTAGGCTGTAATGCAGACATTCGCGTGATTGTAAAAATTGAAAGTGCAGACTCCATTCCTAATCTTCAATCAATACTTTCAGCGTCAGATGGGGTTAGTTTTCTTGTTTATTTCTTCTAATAGAATATTTCAATATGCTTTACTTGCAATTGTTGTTATTATTA